GTGCAGAGGATGTGTGCAGACATGGTGTTGCTAGCAATGGGCCCTACCAGACACTCTGTGTTGTGTAGTGGGTTCCACACATTGAAGAATCAGGAAACAGCGTGATTATAAGATCATAATTTACTGGTACACAACAGAACAGAGAATACCGGCCAGATGGCTAACTATATACAGTCCCCGTGGATTCACTGGAAAAGTTGCAAAAGGAGTTCCAATTTAGATTTAAAGAGCTTCATCTCCATGAACAGGACATACAGCTTTTCCATAACCCATTTTCTATTGACATTGAAAATGTGGATACAATTTACCAAATAGAACTGGCTGAACTGCAGAATTGTGATTCTCTGAAAGACGCATTCAAGTCAAGCAGCCTTCCTAATTTCTATGCATCTCTCCTTCTGAGACATATCCTAATCTCAGGAACCATGCACTCAAAATGGCAACCATCTTTGGCAGCACTTATGTCTGTGAACAGACTTTTCCCAGAATGAAACATCTGAAATCTCCAACCAGATCTAGACTAACTGATGCACACTTGCATCACTTGTTACGACTAGCAGTGACAAATATGGAACCGGACATTGACCATCTCATTAGCCAAAAGCAGGCTCATAGTTCCCATTGAAATACTGGTAAGTTTGTTGATTTAACTTTACTTGTTCTTCATTTTAAATATTGTATTTGTTCCCGTTTTGTTATTTTACTTCAAAATAAGATATGTGCAGTGTGCATAGGAATTTGTTCATAGTTGTGGTTTTTTTTAAAAACTAGAGTCCGGGCCTCCAACGGTCTGAGGGACAGTGAACTGGCCCCCCGTTTAAAATGTTTGAGGACCCCTGCTCTATTGGGTTGTGACCACTAGCCCTTCTTTGTATTTCAATGAATATAATATATAGTTTTGAACATAGTTGTGAATTGTAGATGGTCTTCCCTTGGTGGGTATTGTTTGTGGCTCTACTTCTACACTAAGAGTTCCCTATTGTGTCTGACATGTCACAACTGAGAAGCATGATCCTCTTATGCTTGGAACGTGCTCCCATAAATGAGGCCATAACAACAGGCTGCGGCTGAGTGTCTTTCCCAGCTAGCTTTGCTTTGTAGGTCTGTTCTGTTCATCTGGCAAGCTGCAGGAATTTTCAGTTTCCTTCTTGGGTTAGGAAGTAACTATGGCCCCGGTCACACAGGCCGGATATCGCGCGGGGGGGGAGGCGTGGCTGTTTGCTCCGGGGCAAAATAACGCACGGTTGCGCGATCAGACGTCCTGTGGAGGTTCCGTGGGTAGAGGGGAGGTGCCGATCACAGGACAATCCTGCGGCGCGGCAAAGAAGCAGCGCGGTGCAGCAAACGGGGTTTTTTTTCTGTACACCAAAGTATGCGCATGCTCCGTTGGGTGCTTGTGTGCATCCATGGAGACTTGGGGAAAAAAAACAACCTTTTTGCAAGGGGACATGGGCGGGCGCCGGATGCCACCAGAAACGC